CTGCGTCGGTCGCCAGCTGTTGCAAATAAATATATTTATATCAAATGTTTTTTTTTCCTTTTAATCAAATGAGGACAAGAGATATAATTTTTCATGCAATTATTGATATGAAAGATTAATTTATCTCTCGTTAATATGTTAATTTAGTAGGCAAAGTAGTCTCTGCCAAGCTTCATTGTAGAACGCATACTTTTAACGTGAGTTCTGTCAAACCAACGCAAACTACAAAGGCAACGCGAAAGTTCTATGTAAACCAGCCTTAATTATCAAATACTGTTTAACACCCCAAATAGTAGTTTGTATTATACTACAAACATACATATGTATGGGGACTAAACCAGGAATATTCATTTGAAAATGGTAATGTCCTACTCATTTATATATATCTTCTTTTATCCTTTTTTCTACTTTTCCCTACTGCTTTTCTTTTCTATATTATCTTTATGTTTCCTTACTAACTATTTATTTAAGTTATATTATTATTATTTTTTCTTCCTTATTTATTTAAAGTTAATTAGTACTAAGATCGTTCCTTTTTTCGTTATTTAAAAAAATATGTTTGGCCCGAAAGACTCACCCTCGGTTGCAGCAGGCATTAGTTGGGGCGCTGCTGTAGTGGTTGTTGCTGTTTGTTGTGGTTGCTGTTTGCTGTTGTTATGGTGTGGTTGCTGATGTGGCAGCGTTGATGTTGTAGTTGGTTTTGCTAATCGCCAGGGTACGTTGAGGTGCCTGACGATCCTGAGGCGCCCTTTTGGCAATGTGCCGCTCGATGCGTTAAGACGCACCGCTGAAGAGGTGGCGCTTGATGGCGTTGAGGCGCCTGATTACCAGTGCGGCTCACTACCGGTACGCACTCGCTGGCACTTGGGCGCTTGATGGGGTCGAGGCGCACCGCTGACGAGGTGGCGTTTGATGGCGTTGAGGCGCCCTTTTTGGCAAGGTGCCGCTTGGTGGGGTTGAGGCGCCTGATTACCAGTGCGGCTCACTACCGGTACGCACTCGCTGGCACTTGGGCGCTTGTTGGGGTCGAGGCGCA